AAAGTACCAGCTGGGCGTGTTGGCGCATGCCTATAATCCCAGCACTGCAGAGGCAGGAGGGCTGAGAGGACCCAGACCAGCTTAGGAAGACCATGTCTCAAAGGGGGGCTGGGGAGGACACTGGAAGGGAAGCTCAGGTGGCAGACCCCCCCTCCCCCAGCCAAGTCAGCATGAGGTCCCAGAGAGGGCCTGAGCCCAAATACTCAGCTAGGCAAAAGAAATCCAAAACCCTCTACCGCCTCATGCCTGTCTCCTAGCGAGTCAGGAGGCTGATATCTGAGGATCCCAATCCAAAGCTAGCCCAGCAGAAAAACGCGAGAGACTCTTATCTCCAACTGACCAGCAAAAAAGCTGGAAATGAAGGTGTGGCTGAAGAGGTAGAGCATCAGCCTTGAGCGGAAAACAAGACAGCAAGGCCCGAAATTCAAGCCCCAGTACCAGCAGAAACAACAGCAGGAAATAAAAATAACAAATGAATAATATAAAAGTGGAAGGACTAAAGCCATCTATGGACTGCCACGCGTGGGTCCCGTGTGTACCAAATGTTAGACCAACTTGGTCCTCGAGTGTAGACTGTGGGGGGTTAAATGTTTGTGTCCCCCAAAATTCCTGTGCTGTAACACCAACCCCTCCCCCCAGGGAGAAGGCAGCAGCAGTAAAGACTACTGTGAGATCATCAGGGTGGAGGCTTCCTGATTGAGATCAGCACCCTGTAAACTGGGAGGCCAGAGCTCACCGCACCCTCCCCTCTCCTATCTGCGAAGAAAGAAGATGGCGGCTATGCGAAACCCGGACACCGACATCACCAGTCACAGGGCCTACCAGCTCCCGCCTCCACAGCTGTGAGCGGAGACACAAGTTCTGCGGTGCAAGCCAGCCACTGGGGCTATTTGTTACAGTAGCATGCACGGACTGAGAGTTTAAACTTTCATCACTAATCTGACTAAGGATTCGCTGAGTCTCAGCACTTGCTAGCACTGTGGAAGCTGCAGGCTGATTTCCTCCCTCCCTCGCCCAGACTTAGTCTCTGGTTGATAAGCTTTTTTTGAGGGGGGAGGAGAGGGGTAGACAGTGAGGTCTGTTCCTTCTCTTCCACCACAAGACAGACCTCACGTCCAGAGTCAGGAGATGGAAGGGAGGAGCAAGGGGAGAGGAACTTGCCTCTTGGGGTTGGGTGTCTGCAGAAAGCTCTGGGGTCTCCATGAAGAGCGGAGTGGGGGGGGCCTTTTTCTTCTTCTTACAGAATAAAACTCCTTTCACAGGTGGGGAAGTCAGTGTCAGAGATGTGTCCTGTCCTTTCCTGGACACCAGAGTGGCTGGGCAGCCAGGGCCACTGTGGCCTCCCTCTAAGACTTCACTGGCCCAGGTGGAGACGCCTTCCCGGCTTCCCAGGATCTGCTCATTTGCATACGAGGAACCAGCGCCAGCCGCACACACCTGTGGCTTCTTCCACGCTCTGTTTCTTCCTGGCACCTGTTGTGACTCTCCTTGCTCATGCTGCCTCCCTGGAAGCTGCCACGTTCCCCACACGGCGGGCAGCGAGCGAAGCCTTCCGTGTGCGTCTCCAGGCAGCTTGTTCGACACCTCGGCGCCGTGTGAATATTCATGCTCACCTTTAAAGCTCAGCTGTCCTGCCACGTGGCACGCCACGCCCTGGACCGACATCTGGGCGCCGTGTGAATATTCATGCTCATCTTTAAAGCTCAGCGGCCCTGCCGTGTGGCACGCCGTGCCCTGGACCGCGGCCGTATCTTCCCTGCCAGCTCCGCTCGGTCTGCTGGCAAAGCTCCTCGCACACACGCTTCCAATCTGGCATCTGACGACAGCTCAGGGTCTTCGCCAAGACCGTAAAGCTTCAAGCACTTGTCTTTTATCTCCTGTGTGCTCGAGCTTTCCAACCTCACTGGCGTCTCTGCACTATGGTCAGGATTCTGGAAGCATGGCCTTCTCATAGTGAGCTGCCCAGTGCTTCTCTTTTTATTTGTGCCCAAAATGCATCATACTCGAGATCACAGCACAGATACATTTTAAAAATTAAAACACAGTTGGGTGCAAGTGATTCAGGCTTAAAATTCTAGCTACCGAGGAGATCTAAGGATCTAAGTTTGAAGCCAAACCAAGCAGACAAATTCTGGAGACTCACTGGAAGTGAAGTGTGACTCAAGTGATAGAGCCCCAGCCAGTGAGCAGAAAAAAGCCCATACCTCACCTCAGTAGCACATACCTACTACAGCCCCAGCCAGGTGTAGTAGATCATGCCTATAATCTCAGCAACTTTGGCAGGAGGATCATTTGAGCTCAGAAGTTGGAAGCCAGCCAGACGCTGGTGGCTCACGCCTGTAATCCTAGCTACTCAGGAGGCAGAGATCTGAGGATTGTCGTTCAAAGCCAGCTCAGGCAGGAAAGTCCGTGAGACTTTTATCTCCAAGAAACTACCAGAAAACTGGAAGTGGTGCTATGGCTCAAGTGGTAGAGTGCTAGCCTTGAGCTAGCTGAGGGACAACGCCCGGCCCAGAGTTTAAGCATCATAACCAAAAAAGCAAAAACAAAAACAAAAGTTGGAAGCCAAGCTAGGCAAAAGAGAAAGACTTTATCTCAAAAACTAAAGTTTAGGAAGTAGAAATGTTTCTCTGTTGTTTTTCTTTTAATTTTTTATTATTATTATAAAGGTGATGTCCAGATGAGTTAATACTTCGCAAGTCAGGTAAAGAGTACATTTCTTTTTGGACAGTATCGCCCCTTCCCTCCCTCTCTCCCAGTTTTTCCTCCCATCCCCTTGTTTTTGTTTGCTTTCCTTTGTGTATCCACAGTCAGCAGAGACGCCCATGCTAGATTGAGCACTGGGCTGTCCCCACACCTCAGGTCAGATCAACCTTTGCAGCAAAGTGAATCTTGGCACCAATTTTCTGGAAAGAAACCATTTCCACAGCGCTCTGCCTTCTGGGACAGCAGGTAAGAGTCTGCACGGACTGTCCTACCAGGAATCGCAATGAGCAGATGGGAGAAGAGGCCTCCAGTGCCCGGAGTCCAGCAGGAGAGACACGTCCACACAGCTGCATCACAGCCCACCCCAATGGCAGCTGCAGCCTCGTGGGCGCCTGAAAGAGGCCAGGCTGCAGCTGTTCTCCGAGACAGGGGTGGCTGGTTTCATGGACAAACAGAGTCCTGATTACAGAGAAGCTTACAGCCAAGGTTGCATAGCCAAAAGGAAAAAGCAACCTTAAAATGCTGAATGGTGGAAGGGGACTGAGGATGTAGCTCAGTGGCAGAGAACTCCATTACTATGCACAGGCCCTGGGTTCAGCCTCAAAGGGGGAGGGGACAATGAGAACCCTAAATGAGCCCCTTCCCAGCAAGAAAGGCTGCCTGAGGTGTCAGGCCAAGCAAGCTAGCATGTTGAAAGGAAAGAGGGCAGAAAGGCAGTGGAACCAAGACTTCAGGACAGAGGTGGAGACAGGCAGAGAGGAAAACTACCAGTGTGCTCAGGATCGGAGAGCCACACGGCCCCCATCTCCCACTGGAAGTAATGACACCGGTCTGTTTTCCTCAGAGCTCTAGGTCACTCAGACCTCTGCCACCTAGAAAGGGAGGAAACAGCGTGGCTACTGCTTGGGTCACTGAGGACAGGGAGGAATGGCCAAGAGGAGGGAGGGACCAGGACAGAGGGTTGAGTGAAGACAAGGATCTAATGGATAGGAGCTGGGAAACCAAGGGGACCGAGGTGAGTGTAGGAGAAGGTGGCTGGTGTCACTAAATGCTAGAGCAGAAGGCCTAACAGCGAAGGAGAAAAAATGATATCAGATTACAGACAGCTGAGCTCAAGAGATGTGTTGGTCCAGTTTGCATCTATATACCTGTCACTGGAGGTGCAGAAACAGTTATGCTCACAAATATCACAGGATGGACAGTTGATGATGGCCAGATGAGTAACCAAAGACAGATGGATGAATGAATGCATGGGTAAATAAGTAGAAGGAAGGAAGAAGGGGAAGGAAGGAAGGAAGGAAAAATGGGAGAAGATGGGTGGGCAGATAGATGGATGAGTAGGTGGATAAAAGGGCAAATGGATAGAAGAATGGACAAATGGAAGGACAGGTGGATGAAAGGACGGACACATGGGTGAACAGTACAGATGGATGGACAAATGGGAGGGTGGATAGATGGAAGGAAGGACACATGGGTGGATGGTGGACAGATAGGTGGGCGAATAGGACAGATCCGTGATGGGTTGGAAGGATGGACAAACAGACAGAGGGTAGGCAAATAGGACAGATGGATGGATAAAGAGTAGATGGAAAGAGGGATGGACAGATGGAAGGAGAGATAGACGATAGCCAGGTAATCAGAAGGATGGATGGACAGATGGAAGAAGGGAGGGGTGGATTGTTCTGGTGGCCCTGGTCTCATTCTAGTAACCAGACTTAACTCCTCATCAGACCCTGCATCTCAGGTCAGTTTCCACGTGCCCTGGTCCGGCCGGCTCCAGGGCCTCCAGGGCAGGCCCGGGCTTCGCACGCCAGACGCTGCCCTCCGGGAGGGTGCAGGCTGCGGATGCGGCCACAGGTGCTGTCCTCCCGGGCAAAGCACCACGCCAACCACCGCACAGACCCAGGCTGGCCGTGGGATGCGAGGGGCTCCCCCGGGCGGGCTGGACCCGGGCACGGGAGCAGCGGTCCCGACTGCGCCCTGCGGGGATGGAGGCCGTCCCGGAAGGCCAGGGCCGGGCCTCGGGCCACAGCAGCGGTGGCTTCCCCACGCCCTCGCCCGGACCCCCACCCTGCCCCCACGCGGAGCCCGCGCTCCCGCAGGCCGGCCGGCGGGCGGCGCGCGAGACCCGCGCCGGCACAGCGCGGGCCCCGGCAGGGGGCGCGCGGGCGCCCGAGCCGAGGGGCGGAGCCTCCGCGCGCACGACGTCCCGCCTCCGCGCAGGCAGCGTCTCCCCCGATTGGACGCCGCCGCAACGTCAGGCGGGGAGAAGCGTCGTCGCGTCCGGTGACGTCTCCCGCGGGCGTCGGCAGGGTCGGCAGTGTCGGCGGCCGTGTCGGCGGCGGCCGGTGGAAAATGGCGGAGTATTTGGCCTCCATCTTCGGCACCGAGAAAGACAAGTGAGTGAGAGCCGGGCGCCGGGGCACGGGCTGCGGCGGCGGGCGGGGCGGGCGGCGGGGGGAGGCCCGGGCGGGGTGGTGGGCGGCGGGAAGGAGCCGCGGCCTTTCCGGCCTCGCGCGCCTCGTGGGCCGCTCCCGCCCGGGCCTGGCGCCCGGCCTCCCGCGCCTCGGGCCCCGGCGGCCCCGCCCGCCGCCCGCCATCCCGCCAACTTTGGGGCCGCCGGCGCCGCGGCGCGGGGAGCCGGTGACGGGTTCTGTCTCCGTGCCCAGCGCCGGGCGGACGAGGTCGGACCGGCTTCCCGGGACCCGAGCCGCGGCGTCGGGAGGAAGAACCGGGTGTGTCGGTGTTGGGGTTTCTCCGACCCTCTCTTAGGCTTATGGGTTTGACACCCCCACCCCCCGAATAAAAAGGAAAAAAGCCGCCTGCCTTCCCCGACCGACCGATCGTTCTTTAGGTTAAAAGTGAAAAATGAAACAAAAATTAATTTCACTTACAACTCGTTGCTGCCCCGGCGAGTGTTAATTTCCCAGTCTGTTGGCTGAAGTTTAGGCTAAATGCAATGTCTTCAGGCGCTTTCAACGGTAATTCCTACTTTGAAAACCTGAAGACTTAAGCGTCTGGCCTAATCTACTCTGAGTAAGTAGTTAACCATCTTGGTATTATTGGGTTTCATAGGAGTCTTGTAAAAATCCCTGTTTGTATGGGTAAGGCCCTAAATTTGCCATGGATAACACTGTTGGAACTGTTTCTGTTTTTTAGGAAGGAGTCCATCCTGTCCAGTGTCTTCTTTACACACCATAGACTCTCCTGTTCTTTGCCAGAGGGAATCTATTTCTTTCAAAAACTTGCATGCCCATAACAGCACTTGACCATAATCACTGTAGGGACGTTGGTGTGTGTCACCTATGAGCCAGTCTGCTTAATGGAAATACTAGTTGGGCTTTGTCCTCAGGGAACTCCTGGAGGGCAGAGGTATATGTTGTGTTAAGGATAATTAAAGCACATTAAAACCTGTTACCGGGTCAGGAAGGAGGTGGTTTGGGAAGCCAGCCCAGAGTATGTTCTTGGGAATGGGAAGGCAAGCTCTGCAGGAAAGCAGCTTCCTTGCATTTAGGCAGACGATGTCGCACGTGCAGATTCCCAGGCGCCATCAGTAGTCCTTCCCCTTGGTTATATTTGTGTGTGTGGTGTTTTCTGAAAAGCTGTCTTTGGCAATTTCACTAGTACTCTACAAAACTCATGCTTTAGAGGCTTATTCCAAGTGGTGGGGGAAGGGGGCTGCTTAAACTAGGTGCTCTCTGAACGTTTTCCTGTCAAAGGCTGTCACTCTACCACTTGAGCCACAGCTTCACTTTTGGCTTTTTGGTGGTAAATTGGAGGTAAGAGTCTCAAACTTTCCTGTCCAGGTTGGCTTTGAACCACAATTCTGAGCTCATCCTTCTGAGTAGCTAAGATTATGAGCCACCAGCACACAGCACTCCATCCTAATTTATTTTCTTTATCAGCATACACTGTTGATGTGTGTTCTGGTACTAGAGTTAGAACTCAAGACCTCAAGCTCTCACCTGAAGGTGTTTTGTTTTGTTTTTGCTCAAAGCTGGTACTCTGCCACTTGAGTCCAGCCTTTTTTCCCTCATTAATTAGAAATAATAGTCTCCAGGAGTTTTTCTGCTCAGTCTGACTTCCAAATGTGGTCTCTCAGATCTCAGCCTCCCAAGTAGCTAGGATTACAGGCGTGATACACTAGCACATGGCCACATATGTTAGTTTTAAAGGGGGATTTTCTTTTTTTTGGGGGGGGGTCCGGTCATGGGGCCTGAACTCTGGGCCTGGGCGCTGTCCCTCAGCTCAAGGCTAGCGCTCTACCACCTGAGACACAGTGCCATTTCCGGCTTTTTTCTTTTTGCTAATGTGCTGAGAAATTGAACCCAGGGCCTCACGCATGCAAGGCAAGTGTGAGCCACCACTGAGCCACCTTCCCAGCCCCTAAAGGGGGAATTTCATCATGACGTTTTCACACATGATGTGTCCCCTCTGTCAGCATCAGGTCTCTGTCACTCTCCCTTGTCCCCTCTGATGATAGCACTTTTAAAATAGTCCTGCTGTAAATGACTACATTGAAGTCATGATTGTGACTCAGGAAGTTAATTAATAGATCCAGGCTACTTGTGTTCTCATTTCAGGGACATAAGGGGAGGTTAGCTTCCAGGAAACGGGATCAAAAAAGTGAAAGTTCCCTTTAAAGGCTAGAAGCAAAATATAGGTCTCTACTAAATAAAAATATTTAGCTTATTTGCCATCTTATTTATAGGCAATTTCTAGATCTGAGTACAGATCTGCCTATATAATAGCATGTCTGTGGATACTGTTTGCTTTTCTTTTTTTCATTTTATTTTACTAGTTTGATAATGTCACTCAAGGGGGCTGGGAAGATGGCTTAATGGTAGAGTGCGTGCCTTGCATGAGGCCCTGGGTTCGATTCCTCAGCACCACATAAGCAAAAGGAAAAAAGCCAGAAGTGGCGCTGTGGCTCAAGTGGTAGAGCGCTAGCCTTGAGCTGAAGAGCTGAGGGACAGCGCCCAGGCCCAGAGTTCAGGCCCCACGACTGGACCCCCCCCCCCCCCACCAAAAAAAAATAATAATAACATCACTCAAGTTCCAGGCGTTTTTGGTTAATTTACTAAATAGCTAATAATGGAATGGAATGAAAAGCATTTCTGGAAGTACAGAGATGAGGATTGCTTTCTTTATATGGGCTTAGTTGAGTGTTGTTGAGACTGGAGTTTTGATTATTTGAGATATTTTTTTAAGTGAGACCTTCATTTTCAGTTGTCTTCTTTTTTGGGGGGCAGGGGGTGTTCGGTCGTGGCCCTGAACTCTGGGCCTGGGCACTGTCCCTCAGCTCAAGGCTAGTGCTCCACTACTTGAGCCACAGCGCCACTTCCAGCTCTTTTTTTTCTCCTTATGTGGTGCTGAAGAATCCAATCCAAGGCCTCATGCATGCAAGGCAAGCGCTCTACCACTGAGCCACCTTCCCAGTCCACTCATTTGTCTTCTAAGGATATGGTATGGTCTATTTGAGTTAGGTTATCTAAAGTGAGTCTTACAGGTCTGCAGATTACATATAGCAGTCATTTCCTCTCCTGATAACACTCCAGGCTTTCTCATCTCTACTGCTGCCTGATAATTTTAAAAGCCCAGTTTAGCTAGGCCCTTCAAATTTCATTGAAGTTGAGACTTCTAATCTTGACTTACTGATGCCTAAACATATGGCTCTGACTAAAAGTGACTGAATGTACAGGGTAGCACTCCACCTCTACCGGCTGAAACCTGATGGGGTTCCATAATTCATCACAGATCTACCACTGCCACACAGTGCTGGTTTTGATTTGGTTTGGCTAGTTGGTGTTTTTGAGTGTATTGGGGATGGCTTCTCAGAAGAGACCCCGTGACTTTAGGCAAGATGTGCTAGGGTCCATTGTTCAGCGAAAGGAAACGAGAACTTTGCCTCACATCTGTTAGTGACTTTCTTCTCTGAAAGCATGCTCAGGTTTGGCGAGAACCTGACTCTTGTGTTTTTCCTTCAGGAAGAGTAGCACTTGATGAACCCTGTGAACTAGGTGCACATATCTGATTTCTGGGACAGTGTCAAGTTGGCATTTTACTCATATTGGAGGTGGTAGAGGAGCTTGCCTGAGCCCATCCAGCTAGTAGAGTCAGGGTCTTTCTGATGCTGTGATGATGTGCTGCTTCCTCAAGAGAGTTTCACTATGAAGAAAGAGAACAGATGAGGCTTAAGTTTGGTTTTAGACTAATACTTCATTTAAGAAAGAACTGTAGGGGGCTGGGAAGGTGGCTCAGTGGTAGAGTGCTTGCCTTGCATGCATGAGGCCCTGGGTTCGATTCCTCAGCACCATATAAGCAGAAGAAAAAGCCGGAAGTGGTACTATGGCTCAAATGGTAGCGTGCTAGCCTTGAGCTGAAGAGCTGAGGGACAGCTCCCAGGCCCAGAGTTCAGGCCCTACGACCGGACCCAAAAAAAAAAAAAAAGAACTGTAGCCAGGCACCAGTGGCTTATGCCTGTAATCCTAGCTACTCAGGAAGCTGAGATCTTTGGATCTCAGTTCAAAAGCCAGCCCTGGCAGGAAAGTAGAGAGCATCTTATCTCCAACTAACAACTAGAAAAGCAGAAGTAAAGGTGTGGCTCAAGTGATAGAGTGCTAATCATGAGCACAAAGCTCAGAGAGAATGCTCAGGCCCCGAAATCAGTCCCAGGACCAGCAAACGAAGGAGCTACAGAGAAAGTACACATTAAAAACTGAGTGCGTTTGAATGAGTAGAAGTCAGGTTAGAATGAATGGTGGCGTAGAATAGTAACAGGTTAGTGAAGGAGTAGGTGAGTGGAACACTCCAAAAGACTGCTGTCTGGGAAGTGAGAGGAGACAGGTTGGTGGCATTTCCATGTGACATCTTCCCAGTAAGTAGTCCTCTGGCGTTTCTCTTCCAGAGTCAACTGCTCGTTCTACTTCAAGATCGGAGCGTGTCGCCATGGAGACAGATGTTCTCGGTTGCACAATAAACCGACCTTTAGCCAGGTTTGTTTGTTTTCTTTTTCATTTTCACGTAAACTATTAAAAGTTTGTGTACTTTCTTTAGCGGCAATAATTTCCACACACAATAGTCCTTTTCCCCTTTATTTTTCATGTTCATCGTGTTGTCTTTTGCTTAAGTGTAAATGAAGTAGATGACCACCCCCAGAGGGAAGTCCCCACCCCTCTTCTTACAATTGGAGAAACTAACAATAAGCATAGACTGCTTGTGTGTTGGCTGCCACTGACCGCCCTGCCATGCCCACCCCCACCGGCCTGTTCCGCGCAGGCCAGCACTGGCTCAATCTCTTCCCGTTCCGGCGGGGGCATGGTGACAAAGCTCCTGGCCTGGCTGTCAGCAGACTTGTCGTGCTGTGCTGTTGCACTTTCTCCAGTTCTCCAGTGATCTCATTTTCACAGCCCAAGCAGCCCATACCAGGCTGCACCATGTCACGGGAACATTAAGAATGAGACTTAACCTGTAGAAGATAGGCACACATTGTCCATAGCAGCATATCTGTTCAGTAGCTGAAGATGCCTGCTATTCTGGGCTTAAATCTGCCTTTCACTTCAGCCCACAAGTGTGGTTTGGTCGTTGTGGTTTTGGCTGACATCCGCAGGGGCTCACCTATAAGGAGAAGCAGAAAGCGGCTGCGCAGGTGTCAGAACGTGCGAGGTCAGAGCCTGCACCTGACTCCTGTGAGGAGAGCCATTGCCCTCTTCCTCCGAGCCCTCACTTTCTGTCCCTGCGTTGACTTCCTTACAGCTTCAATATGACTAGAGCCCTAGGCAGCCTTATACAGTAATGTTCCTGGAAGAGAGGACACGACCTGCTGGCCAAGCAGTCACTATAACAAGACCTTGTAACAAATTAATGTAACATGACCTGCTGGCCAAGCAGTCACTATAACAAGAATCTGGCTTTTAATAACTTAACATGTCCTCTGAACATGTTCCTTTTTTTTTTAAGTTACTTATCATCTTAATCACCCCAACTAAACCAGCCATAACGAAACTAAGCACCTTTAGTATCTGCCCAGGTATTTGATTGGGAAATCATTTATAGGAAGTAGAGGGCTAAGAAGAGAGGGCACCCCTACTGTCAGTGTACTCGTGAAGCCTCGGGAAGTGCAGCTGTTGCGCACTTGTGATCCTGTACAAATGGGGTGGGATCAGTAGTGTACGTTAGCAGAAGCATCCACTTGGGGCTTAGCTGGGGTACTCCTGGCCACCCCTAATTGAACCACATCTCCCTTTTACATGAGGTTCCCTAGAGTCCATCATTCCTGCAGGGATTTGCACTGCTGTTGCATAGCCAGGCTGTGTAGCTTATCAGAATGTGCCAGGTGACTCCAGTGGAGAGCTGAGTAAACCAGCTCAGGGAAGTTGTGGGGCCCACACTGAATTAATGGCTAGAGAGGGTGGTAAGCCCAGTATGGAGGTGGCTGCTTTCATTCAGGTGCTCAGCCCCTGCAGGTGGGGTTACATACAGCAGAGACCTTGGACGGCAGATCTGGACTGATGCACAGAGCACTGAGAAAAACTGCTTCTGTACGCCCTGCCATTGTGACTGAGTTACGTTCTTAAGTCCTGAGGTGTGGGTTCAGCTGGTAGACCCCAGCGTGGCTCAGGGTGGGTCGACTTCTTTCAGTGATGTGGACATTAAGCTTCGTGTAATATATTAGCTTACTAACTTAAACATGGTTTGTTTTTTCAGACAACTTGATTTTAAGAAGAGCGGTACAGTGTAAGGTTTCAAGTCTTCCTGATCCAGTTTAAAGCACAAGGGCTAAAAGGATTGTTTTCCTTAAAAGAAGGATCGGAAAAGAGCAAATGTTTTAACTATTGTATTATGTAAACAGAGATCCCACCAAGAAAGTGTAAATAAGTGTCAGGTATCCATGACAACTCGTGTGCCTGTTTGCCAGGAGACCAGAGAACTTGATGCACTGCATACGGTTGAGCTATGCATTTGGTTGGGAAAAATAATTCTGTGTGGGGCCTATGATTAGAATGTGAATTTTTTGACATCTAAGTGTCGGCCGGCTTGAAGTACAAGAAGTGTCCTGTTACTTCTCTTGTATGAAAGCGCCTCACGATTGATGTGGGAGCCATTCAAAACAACAGTTAGCAGTTCTTGGTTGCTGGCTGACTTGACCCAAGGCACTGCTCAAACTCTGTTTTCATAATATGATGGTTTTGGTGTACTCTGCACAAGACAGTGTCTGACTTGCGGGAAAAAAATCAACAACAACGGAGGTTTAGCCATTTGCAAACAAAGTGTCTCTTTGCAATTGTCTAATATCTGCACAGCAGCCAGTAGAATTCCCCTTTTTATTTTTTTTTTCCCCGCAGACCATCTTGATTCAAAACATCTATCGTAATCCCCAAAACAGTGCACAGACGGCTGACGGCTCACACTGTAAGTCCCACAGTTGGAGAAATTTTTTAAACAATGGTGTTCAAGAGCCTACTCTTAATTGAGACACATTGGCTCTGAGCTGCTGACATAGAGCTGTTGCAAACAGGACAAGGTGCTGGAACTGCGTGGCGCACACAGCCAGAACTTGACACGGGCCACGTTCAGAGGCTAGTTGACTAGGGAAGTCACTGGCCGGCCTCTCTGCTGACTGACATGGTCACGAGAGCGCCCGTCCATGTGAACGGGTTTTCGCCCCAACAGCCCATCATTGGCCTTCACAGTGACTGAACCTTGGCCTTTATTAAGTTCTTTCTGTAAAGTTAAAAATGGTAGGAATATTAAGGAGTCAATAAGGTAAGTCGCCCAGTAAGTGTGGGTTTTATTTCACCATTCCCATTTTTCCTCTAGGAAGTGGAGATTTCATGACATGTGATTATTGTATTTCTTGGATACAGCATTCTTCTTGCATTTATGGAAGCACTTTATTCCTAGTTCCCGAAGGTGTGTGTGGGATCTAAACGTTGGTAGTCACCTGGAAGTCATTGGCACTCTTCCTGGGTTGGCATGTTGGAGTGCAGAAGTACAATACTGGCATCTCATGAGATCTCGTGGCATCACAGTGCTAGGTTAGCTCAGGACAGCCGCCAGCTGAGGGACATCTCTGCTCTGAAAAATAACCTGCTCTTTTTTCAGCACCGACTCAACTGAAGCAAGCGATCGCCAAAGGCAGCCGGTGAAGTGTTTACATTTAATTTTCCATAATATAAAGTTGTTGCGTTTTGTATTTCAGACCATTGCCCTCTTGAACATTTACCGTAACCCTCAAAACTCTTCCCAGTCTGCTGACGGTTTGCGCTGTAAGTTCATCCAAGTTCCTTCCCTGGTTCCCTGGGCTTGCGTGTCAGAGCGCAGTGTCCGCTCCACCTGGTCTGCTGTGCTGTGTCACCAGAGGTGGCAGGAGCTTTCGTCCCACCACCCTCTGTTGGAGATCTGACCTCCTGCCCCGTGCTCACAGGGTGACAGGGAGTGGGAAGGGCGCCTGGAAACCTTCGCCCTCTGCCCTCCTCACTCGCTGTCATCGGGGGCGCGCTGGGCTGGCCTTCCGGTGCCGCGCTTGCTCGGAGGAGCAGCGGCCTCTGAACATTTCGCTCACGTTCGGCAACTCCCAGAAAGAATTGTGAAATTTTTCAGGTTTTATTTCTTGCTAGGCTTTTTTCCCCTAAAGCTGCACGTTGGAGATGACAGTCTTAATGTGCAGCGAGGGTCTGCAGTTCATGTTGACCCTCAGTTTTCCTCCACGCCCCTGCCACCCCTGACATACAAGTGTGCTCAAGCTCGTAGGCACTTGGCAGAAAAGACACTGGGTTTGAGCCGCCTGCTTGGCAAAATACAGTCTCAACTCCAGAGTTAGTGTTCTGCATTTGGGGAACTTGTCAAAAGTCCTTCATGGAAAAGCAGGTGTGAACGACCACTCAGTGCACACATCACCGGTTTCCTCCTGAAAAGGGAAATGCTAGGCCTAGGAGCAAGCACGTATGCAGTGGAGGCCTCTGGAGAACAGTGTGCATTCGTGTCACTGGGAAGTCCAGAAGCCCAGCCTTCATTCTTCACCCGTCCCGCTGTAGAGCCATGGGAATGTAGCCCTATGTGGATGAGTAGAGACGAACACCTGGACTCATTAGAATGTCCAAACTGAAGGTAGACACTTGTCATTCACCAGTTTGGTTTAAAGCAAGAAAATTCATAGCTTGCCTTCAGGTAGCCCAGGCCTAAACTAAAGCACACCTGGTTCTGGGTAATGGCTCCGGGTGGGGAGGCCTCTGCTGGGGACCGGGAGGCCTCTGCTGGGGATGGGGCTGCCTTAGAAGTTCCCCGATGAGATACTAATGTTTTTGATGAAAATACTGACCTGATAGTAGAGATTTCTTTCCCAGTAGGACTTCCTTGGTGACCCTTGGTTTAAAATTCCTGGTTATTGTTTGCTTTTTCCGTTTTAGAAATGTTTCTCTATGGACTTAACAAATAATTTTATTCACAACTCTGCCCTGGAGTAAAAACAAATGAAATGTAGATGACCGGGTAATGATAATTAAGAACTCTTTGCCCTGGATGTTCACTTTGGGGGGTTCTGTATGCTTTATTGACATAGCATGTTGTGTATTGTAGCTCCAGCACAGTTCACAGTAGTGGGTTTTGGCACATACTATGAACTAACTGTTACTAAGTCCTCTGTTTCTGGGATCCAAAACATACCAATTAAATATACTTTCGCATTTTAGGAAGAAAAATCACCTAAATAAAATTGCTGGCTCTTTTTGAGATACTCTTTCACATGTAGAAAATAAGCTTTAAAAGAAAGAGTAATAAAGACGGTAAATTTGATCAAAGTAGACTGAATGCATGTATGGAAAAGAGCATCATGAAACCCCTTTATATGATTAATACACATTAAACAATTTCAAAGACTTCATATGTATCGATGAACAAATACTAATTCAGAGTTTAAAGGATGATGTTTCTCTTAAGAAAACGGATTCATTTCCCAAGTTGTATTGTTTAAAATATATAACTTCACGTAAATGATTTTCTCTGTGATCAGTGTTTTGATGTACTGGTCTCCGCCTTTTAGGATATTTTAACTGATTTTTTAAAATGGGCAGAATGAATGTAGCCCATAGTACAAAATAGGCACCACAAAAACTTGTCAAAGCTGCTAAGAATTTTGAGTGTGTAAATAATCGCTTTCCTTTTTACACTCTTTTGTGATAGGGAAAGGGAAGTGGGTTTTAAGCGCTGAGATGCGCCTGTGAGCCGGCTTCCGGCTGGCGCTTGTGCTGTGTGTCCCCCAGGTGGGCCTCCCCTCTCGGTTGGCCATCTGGGATACGGTGGTCGGTAGTCTCAGTAGTCAGTAGCTGATACATTCACTAGGTTTGGGGCTTCAGTAACTGGGCTTCTAGAAATTTTAAAGATAACAAAAACAAGCCCTAGCCAGGGAAGAAAGGGAACTTAGAACTTCCTTGACATCAGAAGATAAGTTGCTTCCGAGAGGTGAAGGGTTTGAGTCTGGGTTTGCTAGCCACCAGCTTACCTGTGTTGGGAAACGTGGTTTTGGAGGTGACCGTTGGAAAGGGGGGGCCAGCCTGACCTTTAAGCCCCTGCGTTGCTGGCTACTTACCCAGGGCTTTAGATATGACAGTATTGACAGGCACGCTCTGGGGTTCCCACGTTACGTTGGAGGACTCGACCCATTTGTACAGTAAAGTTTGCTAGCAAGGATGGGAACTTTCAAACTTGCCCGCAGTAGACATGATGACACCCACTATGCAAGTGAATTACAATGCATTAATGTGATGCAAAGGTTTTGGATTGCTTTCTTCAACAAAGCATTCTGTCTTATCTTTCCCTTTATTCAGCAACACTCAGAACACTACAGTTGTGCCTGATAATTTTCCTGCTGGTTTAATTGCACTAGAAAGGGTTTTTTGTTTTTGTTTTAAGCTGGGTGCCCATGGCTCACACACGAATCCTGGGTATACAGGAAGCTGAGATTTGAGGGTCACGGCTCACAGCCAATCCAGGCAAAAAAGGCCATGAAATTCATCTCCAATTAAACAGCAAAAAGCTGGACTGAAGGTGTGGCTCAGAGCTGTAAAGTACAACAAGCCTTAAGTCAGAAAGCAGAGCCAAATGCCAGCGTTGTTCTTAGTGTTGTTTGGTTTGGGGTTTGGTTTTGTTTTGTTATTAAGGAGCTTTCTAGTATTCTGCTACTGGCAGTGTGTAAAGGAAACTAGTTAGTTAGATACTTAAGTTCTTAACTGCCCTGTTTCCACTCCCATTTTAACTTCATAAAGGGAAAAAATGTCAGTGTGCTTGCTTAGCCTCTACTTAAAAGAAACTTTTATTTTACAATCCTCTTAATTTGAGAGTCAACTTTTTTCTCATACTTTCTGGAGATGTAGCCCTTTTGATGCTGATTAAAACTGGTTATGATTTAACAGCTGGAATTGAGCCAGGTGGAGCAAGTAAAAATCTCAGCAACTCCAAGTCATGAACAAGTCGGTGCTCCTTTAGCGTGCAGCCCTGGCCTGGTGTCTCTAGACAGGCGTGTGTCACTGTAGCGGTTGAACTTAAGGACAGGTGCTCCGCTGCCCGGCCCTAACCAGCAAGCTGTGTCTCGTTTGCAGGTGCCGTGAGCGATGTGGAGATGCAGGAGCATTACGATGAGTTCTTCGAGGTGGGTGCTCGTGGCTGTGGCTCACTGTCTGGGGGGGTGCTGGCCCTCGGTAGCCTCAGGCTGACCCACAGCCCTCACCACCGTGTTCTCCCCTCAGGAGGTCTTTACAGAGATGGAGGAGAAGTACGGGGAGGTTGAGGAGATGAACGTCTGTGACAACCTGGGAGACCACCTCGTGGGCAACGTGTACGTCAAGGTACGGAGGGACCAGCTCTGTGCTGCAGGGAGGGAAGGAGGTGCGCTGGGCCGCTGTCACCGGTGGCTGTGGCCGCGGCCACGCTGCATCCTTCCACCGTACCGGCACGCCTCCCTGAGTGGATCAGAAACAGGCGGTGTTGGTTGCAGTGGGGCTGTGGCGGCGCTGGCCTTGTCAGTAGAGAAGCGAGCACTGAGCAGGGAGTCAGGCAGTTTGATGCCTTTCAGTTTCGCCGGGAGGAGGATGCGGAGAAGGCCGTGATTGACTTGAACAATCGTTGGTTCAACGGGCAGCCGATCCACGCCGAGCTGTCACCAGTGACTGACTTCAGGGAAGCCTGCTGCCGCCAGTATGAGATGGGGTGAGTGCGGCACACACGCGGAGCCCCGCCTTGAGCTCTCCGCTGCGCAGTGTAACAAGTGTCTGCTCTCCCACAGGGAGTGCACGCGAGGCGGCTTCTGCAACTTCATGCACCTGAAGCCCATCTCCAGGGAGCTGCGGCGGGAGCTGTATGGGCGCCGGCGCAAGAAGTGAGTGCTGTGCACAGGGCGGGGCCGGGCACCCAGAGTCTAAAACGTGTAAGGATGCACCTGGGGAGGCATGCACGTGCCTGGAGCCCAAACCTCAGCAAGCAAGCAGCGAACCGCGCGTGTGCCGCCTGTTGATGGCTGTGGAGCATGAGCCCGCAGTCAAGTCTCCCTGTTGAGGATTGTTTCAATGCTGCGTGTGCCGTTAGGCTTTCTTTCGGTTCTTTGCTGGTGTTTGGGCATCAGTGGCACTGGCTGGCAGGGTTGGGCAAAGTGTCCATCTCAGGCCCTGGGTTGAGATGCCCAGCAGTCACCAGCAGAGTGCTGTGGTGGCGGTGTGTCTCCTCTTGGCACCGTCAGCTGACTTGCAGAGGTTAGAAATGCTGGCGCCGTGCCTTCCTGCTATGCGTTGCGTTTCGCCGCTGACGGCTACCTCGTGCGTGTCTTGATTGTAGGCATCGATCGAGATCCCGGTCCCGTGAGCGCCGGTCCAGGTCCAGAGACCGTGGTCGTGGTGGCGGTGGCGGTGGAGGTGGCGGAGGCCGGGAGCGTGACAGGAGGCGGTCGAGAGATCGCGAGAGATCGGGGCGGTTCTGAGCCACGTGTTTTTACCGTATGTCTGCTAGGAAGTGTTGTAGTTGATTGACCAAACCAGTTCATAATGGGAATTTTTTTTAAAAAACAACAAAAAAAAAACAAAGATGGGTTTCTGAATAAAATTTGTAGTGATACAGTTTTCTTGGTGTAACTTATTTCTCAGTGTAAACTTGAGGCAGATTAATACTCATCTATCACTTTGACTTTAAATGACTGTACTTTTGGAGTTGGGGTATTAAAAAAAAAAAATGAAGAAAAACTCATATGGGAAAATGTTCATCTGTAACGCGGGGTCTCTCCTGGCCTGGCACCTGTGGGCTTGTCCCTCCACGGACAGCAAGTCCACACCAAGATGCAACCCCCAGCTTCTGGGCCAGCCGACGTTCAGGGCACAAGCCTCCTGTAGGAAGATGGGGGTGAGCCTGGTCTAGCGCACAGGTGCATGTCTGAGACACTGCATGATGAGGTAGCTGGTCATGTGTTGCCTGGCAACTCACACTGAACAAACTGCCAATAGCCACAAAGCTCCACGGGCAAAGCCTCCTGTAAGACTGCTGTCCAGCGTTACTTCCAGACTCATCCCGTGTGTAGGGATGCCACATGTGCTGGCCCTGTAACTCAGGCCGGGCTCAGACCACACAGCTGCCTTGCAGAGGCAAACCCAGACACACTGCCAAATCCCTGTAGTACTGTGTTCCATTCCAGTGGCCCCGGGGGGGGGGGGGGGGGGAGGGGGGGGGAGCCACTGTACTTTGACAGGCCCCACCCCCAGGGGCGCCTGCTCAGCACGGAAGGGAGGAGCTGTGGCCACAGCCACTTGGGCACCAGGGAAAGGTGATGCCTGGCGAGGAGAGCGCGTAAGGGTGTTTATGTGATGCAGCGCTACTGTGATTGTGCACTGGACATTTGGTCTGAGGGGTCAACTTCATTGCCCGTGGTGCGTGCGGCAGCAGAGAGGCAGGGGCCACGGCCTGGTCCATTCCCTCTGCCCAGAACACCACGGGTACTCGTGCAGCAGCAGGGAGGCAGGGGCCAGCTACACTGCACACCCATCACTTGTACTCCCTGAGGAAGGAAGAAAGGAGAAAATGTACCACCTGGTGGTGACTGTAATCTGCTCTGCAAGTCCAGAGGGCTGGAGGGATCTCAGGGCAGGCTCTGCCCGAAGACGGCTCTGCAACAGATGCCATGGTTGCCAGGTGGTTTGGGATCAGACTTAAGAACTTGAGCAGCTTGACCCGAGCTAGCTTCTACAGAAACAGACCTGGAGGATTGTGGTCCAAGGCTAGCCCTGGGGCAGAGGCTGGAGGTGTGTCTAGAGGCAGAGTTGTCCATGAGCAAGGAAACAGGGCCACACAAGAGAGTGGTACTGGCAGAAGAAAAGTACAGTGTGCATATGCTCCCCAGGTCAAGCAGGTTGTATAACGAAGAGAACCAGTCACTCCACACACCCAGTCTGTAATGAGGTCACACCCAGTGCACTGCAATGTTTCTTCGGGATAGTGTCTGATGTTAGTTGCATGTTAGAAGCATGTGGGGCCCAGCTGCTGATTCAGCCCCTGAAGGCTGTGGGTCCGGTCCATGGCGTTCCGTGCAGCAGTGCTTGGCTGGCTACTTCAATCAGCAGGCCAGCTCAGCCATGCACGTCTGTGGGAAACAGCACTGACACATGGTGTATGTGTGCTAGTACATACTGAAACTCTGATTTCTGGGGCCATTTGTTGCCTGCTTCCTGATCACTGCCTCACTCCCAGGTGCAGGATGGCCTGTTGGCCAGAGGAAATGCAACTGGAAATGACTCCCACTCCTTGTTGTCTTGCAGCTCCGTGACTATTCTGTATGTATTCTAAAATCCATTGTGAGTTAAGCACAGTTGTAGCCAGCAATCAGGAGACTGAGACAGGAGCACAGTGAGGGCAACATGGGTCAAAGAAGAACCAAGAGCCTGTCCCTAAAGAAAACCTTCCGTGTCCCAAGTGATAAACGTGCACTTAAAAAGGGTGAACAACCCGACACTGAGAAATGAGTAGTAAGGTAGGAAGGAAGGTCAGGCCTGGCCATGAATGCCCAGTAAACACAGGAGCGAGTCTTCAGAAAAATTTTGACAACCATATAAATATCTTCAGACAAAACCAGTAGATGTTAACAGGATATCTGCAAAGTTATAAAGTACCTCCCCACGAGCTACTTACTAAGACAAAAAGTAAAATAGTAACTTTTAGAGAAAGCTGCTGACAGCACCCAGCCACTGGATGAAAGCTAGCATCCTGCTCTCCTGGCCTTCCTGCCAAAGCCTCCCGCCCTCCGTCTAGCCACGGGCATCATGCAGACCAGCTCGGGGCATTCTGCAAAACCCAAGCCGAGTGAGTAACGAGCTGTCTCAAATACAAAGAGGCGAGGGCTAAGAAAACCCAGACCTGCAGAAGGAGGGGGGACAGCACCCTACAAATCTAACCCTGGAACCCTAGCTACTCAGGAGGCTGAAATCAGATTGTGGGTCAAAGCCAGGAAAGCCCATGAGACTCCAGTTAACCACCCATAGAGCTAGAAGTAGCTGTGACTTAAGTGGCAGATGCCCTCCTTGAACAAAAATGCTCAGGAACCGCACCCAGTTCAAGCCCCCAGATGGGCACTAAAAATAAAAAAGGGGGCTGATAAGGTGGCTCAGTGGTTAGAGTGCTTGCCTTGCACACATGAGGCCCTGGGTTCAATTCCTCAGCACCACATAAACAGAAAAAGCCGGAAGGGACACACTGTAGTTCAAGTGATAGAGCGTTCACCTTGAGCTGAAGAGCTGAGGGACAGCACCCAGACCCAGAGTTCAGGCCTCACGACTGACCAAAAAAAATAAAATAAAAATGAAAAATGAAAAAAGGCTGCCATAACCAATTAACAGAAAGTTGGCTTCAAACGTACACAAAAGCCAGGTGCTCGGGCTGGGAAGGTGGCTCAGTGGTAGAGCGCTTGCCTTGCATGCCTTGAGGCCCTGGGTTCGATTCCTCAGCACCACATGAGCAAAAAAGAAAAAAGCCAGAAGTGGTGCTGTGGCTCAAGTGGTAGAGTGCTAGCCTTGAGCTGAAGAGCTGAGGGACAGCGCCCAGGCCCAGAGTTCAGACCCCATGATTGGACCCCCCCCCAAAAAAAATGCCAGGTGCTGGTGGCTCACGCTTATAATCCTAGCTACTCAGGAGGCTGAGATGTGAGGATTGCAGTTCAAAGCCAGCCTAGGTAGGAAAGTCCATGAGACTATTTCCAATTAATCATCAGAAAACCAGAAGTGGTGCTGTGGCTCAAGATGGTAGAGTGCTAGAATTGAGCAACACTAAAAAAAAAAAAGCAAAAAAAAAAAAAAAAAATTCAGCACCTAGGTCCTGAGTTTAAGCCCACAACTGACGAAATCCTTATACAAATGTGTGTGTCTTCCATTGGTTAGAAGCGCAGATGAGGGTAGGCGGGGCCAGGCTCTGCAGGCTGACTGCTCCTTCCTGCTCCTCCTCCCTGCTGGTTGGGGCTGTCCCCAGGCGCTCCTTGCTCCACTTTGAGGGGCACCCCCACAGGTGTCTGAGTGCAAATTCCTGTCTCCTTACAAAGACTTGTTACAATGGGCTCAAGCCCCCACCCCACCCCAGACCCAGCCTGACTGACCCAGATCATACCCCTCAGAGACCCAAATAAGGCCATGTCGAAGGAGCTCGTAACAGACTGGCCTTGTATGCCTCTCTACTCTTGTAAGAGGCCACCGAAACCAAGCATTTGCTGGGTCCTGTGAATTAACTAGAAGTATCTGTGCCCTTTGATCTGAGCTAGTCTCCATGGAAGTCACTTCGGGGTCCGGGGAGAGGGGAGATTCAAGCCTGGCACTGGTGGCTCATATCTGTAATCCTGTCCACTCAAGAGGCTGAGATGTGAAACCAGCCTCAGCAGACAAGTCTGAGAGACTCTGATCTCCAATTCAGCACCAGAAAGCTGGAAGTGGAGCTCTGGTTCAAGTGGTAGAGTGTGAACCTTAAGTGGAAAAAGCCAAGCAAGAGTGCAAGGCCCTGGGTTCAAGCCCCAGTACCCACACAGAATAAATAAACAAGTTCATGATAAGTATCTTACGTGGATGCAAATGCAAAGCCTTCTAATCATCTTAAAGGAAGCAGCCCCAAACTCCGGACTGTTCTGTGCCTGTAGTAAAGTGATAGCATCCTGGAACTCCCCCAGGGACCAAGCCTGTGCTTAGGGTCAGTCAGGCCTCACCTGTGACCTGGGACTGTCTTCACCCTGGGTGCCTTTCTAACCCTCTGCCCCAATCCTCCCTATTTAACCTGAAGCCAATGTCTTGTACCAAAGGTGGCTGAAGATGTGCTGAAGCGCTGTCTCTCCACAGCTGCCGTGAGCAGGTTTGTCTCTGCCCTTCACCTCATCTCTTATTTGACACATTGAGGCAAGTAGCTGGAAGTGACTTGGGACTCCTGGCCTTAGGGCCTTGGGTCTAAAAACCTGGCTTCATTTCCACCAAACAAATTGGCAGAGATTAAAAACGAACAAGTCTGCATTTTTATTTGAAACCTCCCTACTTGCAGCCCTGGTTTCACAAGCCCTCACTCATGTATGCAAAACTTCTGACCAGCTGGCCTTGGCCTGAGCTCCCAGGTCTCCCTGCGGTGTCTCCTCCCACTTCATCCTTCAGCCTCGGACACCCGCTCCTGCCCCAGGCTCTGCAATGGAGTTGTCAGCCCAGAACATTCCTCCCCAGAACAAAATGTGGCCCTTCAGGTATCTATTCAAGTGTCACCTGCCTTGGGGGCCTCGAAGCTCACCCCGTCATTCCAAACTCCCAGGGGCTGAGGCAGGAGGGCAGCAAGCTCAAGGCCAGCTTGTCCAGAGCCCTGCGTCAAAAAGAAGAGAGAGAAAAAGAAGCACATTGGTGGTTCGTGCCTGTAATCCTGGCTACTGAGGAGGCTGAGCTTTGAGAATCACAGCCCAGGCAAGAAAGTCCAACTCATCACTGAAAAGCCAAATGAAGGCATTGCTCAAGTGGTGGAGTGCCAACCTCGAGCACAAAAGCTCAGTGCGGCGCCCAGGCCCTGAGTTCAAGCCCCAGGACTGGCACCAAAAAGTAACAATAGATACATTAATGCAAATAAGG